TGTACCCCTCTGAGTTTGATGACGCCTCGGTCACGGGGTATCAGCGGATACCATTAACGATTTTGGTCGCGGAGATGTGATAACTTAAGTCACTTTAGGTCCATCAAATGGTCCGGGGAATCCACCTTTATCATTTTTAATGCATACCTAGCAGTGGCTCACGGTTCGTATGCCACTTCAACAGGGTTCTTCGTATTCTCTTGACACTTGCAGCAGTTTCATACAACAGCTTCGCAACCTTTATCATGTTATGCCAGTACAATTGGCTTCAGACTGACTTCTTCATGAGTACGATGCCATTCTGACCAACATGCAGTCCCTTCAACACTCCGCTCTGCAACTTATGTAGGCTTGATCTGCGCACGATGCCGTGCGGGCCTCGTGGCTTCTATGAATGATTTTTTTGAAGTTAACCTAGAGCGTAATCGTCTTAGCAACACAGTAACCAGATCTGTCGAAAGATGGAAAAATGTTCAACCCCAACTAATAAGCTCATAAGTCGTCTATCGAGAGCGCACACTTCTAGCAAACTGCCCTTGACGACCATCTACACTCGTTTATGCCTCCATATATCAAACGAGACAAATCTATAATCAAGAAAGGGACTTGAAACCATTTACTTTCTGGTTTAGACATTTACCACTGTGGAATACGTGAATTTCACCGGAGATATTACGGGAATTTCGTTGCACTTCTGTCGTTTATCCACCCTCGGAGCAAGCACTTGATAACGACGACCATTTGGGGGCCATTATATTATTTAACCCATTGACGACCATGCAGTCCACATGTGGACTGCAGTTGTATTTCTTGTTTTATTCATCTAAATTTCCACTTTCTTTCAATTCTTCTTCTCAAAACATTACATCAGGTCTAAGTGAAACTGCATACACCGTAGTCCTGGAAAATCTTCTAATTTCGCAACTGTAAAGGTGTTTTTTTCAAAGGACTACATTACCTTGGTGAATTTTTCGTTCGTTGAACAACTTTAAAAAATGAGATATTTTGAAAAGACGGTCGACATTAGCATTTCCTAATGCAAAGCTCGTAAAAAACCGCCGAAACGATTGCTGGTAATGAGTAACCCATTGGCGACCGCGCTTTTCAATATTGTCCTTACATGGGCTTTTGTTTTCTCTTATAACTGTAGTTGGAAGTGAATAATTCCTGGACCACGATGCCTCAAGATTCTCTAGAAGTTTGTGAGCTCAGCTGATACTTGAAAACATGAAAAAAGTTATAAGAACACTTGATAAATAATATAAATACTACAGGAGCACGGTGTGGCGTGGCCCGCCGGCGGGCCGCGTGGTCATCAGTGGGTTAAGGTATTTCACACAAAATTAATGATATGTAATGCATGTAATGTATGTGTATGTGTAATGTACATGTATGTGCATGTAAGCGCAGAGGTGCTACACGAATTTTCAATTTTAGAGACATAGGTGTCTCCAAGTGACGAAAATCTTCAGACCTACCTGAACATTGAAACCTTTACGAACGGGTTCGAGGGACTTGTAAATGACTGTTGATTCGTCCAAACAAATCGTCCTCCTTCTTATGTTAAATTGAAAGGCTTCATTGGAGCATAACATGAGAATCTCCCTTTTCTCACGAAGAAATGAGTAGTTAACAGCAGCCCCACAAAGCTCACAATTACACAATCGATTGATGTATCATATCGGTGTATCGGCCAACATCCCCACAGCGGGATATCCATACCGGGGCATTGTATCCCTACCCCACATGAATGCTACAGTGTGAAGGGAACCAAGTGTGAATTGACGCTACATAATCTAAATGGCCTCCAGACAGTATTGTCGACTTCGGATTCCCTACTTCCCCCTAGCCTCCGTCTCCGGACTCAGTCCTGCCACCCGCTGTTAGTCTCATCCTGCCGCCAGCATCTTTGCCAAATTCGAACGCCCTAGGTCCGAATCAGAAATTTTGCGCAAGAACCGTTCCCAGTGGCCGGAGTCTACACCCGCCACCTGCCATTAGTTTTCCTATCTTGCCGCCTGCATCTCTCCCAAATTTGAGTACTCTAGGACCATGCAAAAGCAGGATTCCCGGTGTACTACACTTTTCGGGCATGTCCCGCTCCTAGTGGGCGAAGCCCAGCTTGAAACAAACGCTCCAAAGTAGGTCGGTTCATTCCCCACGTATTCTATCTAGGCTTTGCTGTTCCAGTTCGATTTCCAGAAGGCGCTATATAAGATGGTTACAGAAAAACAGACAAACCGACAAACAAACAAATTGAAGAACAGACAGACACTTGTGGTTTACATACACTGCGTTGCATGATGATACATTTACCCATGAATGTCGGAAAAACTCACGTCCCAGGGCACTTCAGGGAAAGGCTTAATATGGAAAATGTGCACTACTCGGACCGTAGCCTGCAGACTCAATTTATTCAGCAGCTGAGTGACGGCAAAGAGAGGACATTGCATGATTTGTTATTAATTGAGCCCCCACACCTTCGAATTACCTCAGAATACGATTGTCCTAGCTAAAGTAAAGGCTATGTACGAGTTCCTGGTCAATTTGGTGCCCCAACCGTTGACGATTGCTTTCTTCAGCTCTCTGAAACCTCCAACTGCTTGTTTCCTTCACAAACCTTCCTTATTCAAGAATCCCCTTACGTTTTCCATCAGTTTTAAGTCAGGGCTGTTAAGCAGCCAGGGCAAAAGTCCGATTTGGTGCCGACCGAACCCGGGTGCTCAGACTGACGTGATCTCCTACAGGAATACGAGGTTCTGCTGCCGATTTTAACACAAGTAAGAAGGAGAACACGGCGCCTTTCATTCGATAACCGGAAGAGTTGATCTTATCCGGAGAAAACTATAAATGAAGACGTCAACGAGAAGACTATGCTACCATACCTCTCCTTCTCCCTTGAAACGTCGACTGGAAAAGTGAAGCTCATCCCTTTTCAGATCGTGCCAGTAGAAGCGACTTCTATTTGGGCAAAACAAATCTGGAGAACGAAACGTCAAGAGAGAGAAGATAAATGACAAGCCATGAAAAGGCACCCTACTACTGTTGGTTTGGATCAAATTCCTGGCAAAAGCGACCCTCTTATCGCGATACTTCTTGATCATGAAGAATGACTTCTTCATTTTCCGTCAGCGATATATTCAGGCTTTTTCTACCACGTTCAAAACAATAATCTTCTTGACTTTGAGCTTTGAAGAGGACTTGATTTCCGATTCCCGTACATAAGGTCGTCGTATTTGACGCTTCCCTCGAAATCCTTCACTTATATCCTTCCGAAAATAACGGGAGACGTCTCGTACTTCTTTTGGTTCCATACTCTGTAGGATTCCTGACGAGACTGTCGACGAATGAGTGAATGAACTGAAGGTGAATGAATTACCTGGAATTGGAAAACTTGACTTAAACTAAGCAATGGTGTGAGGTGAAAATGGAAAACGATGGGAAAATATGAGGTGACTGTATTACTTAGCAACATAGGCAGAGCGACACTTTCCGAAAAATGAAGGAAAAATTGTCCATGCTATTGCGCTGGAACTCGTTGTTAGTCTACAGGCTACGGTCCGAGTAGGGCACTTTTCTATATTAAGCCTTTTCCAGAAGTGCCCCTGAAACTGGCTGTATCATCATGCAGCGCAGTGTAGAGTATATTTAAATAATGGCTGTTTCTCCTATCGAGATACATTCTTCTATAGTCTCTTTACTTCCGTGTAATGACGACAACTTCTGATAATTTTGCGCCACTTCCTATCCTTTATCGAAAACTTGCCTCTCCTCAGTGATGGGTCATTTTTTCTATGCGGTGTTTCATAACCTGAAGAGTCAACGGCAATTCCCTTGCGCAGCTTTTCGGCTGATCTGATACATCATTTTCTACTGGCTCTATCTCAATATCTTCCTCTTTGGTCTGGTACGGTTGCATTAGTCTTGGTAGTAGGTCGACTTGACCGACTTATACAAATCCCTATATATAACTGATAGTTCAACGGTACGTCTGCGCGCCTGAACGGCTAAGAGTAGGCCACCTAAGCTCTCTCTGATCCAGAGAGGCTATAGCCATGATGTTGAAGACTCAGCATTGGTCCTGGCAAGGCAGTGTTCAGACTCCAGGGAGCAAGCTTGCCAAAACAGCAATGAAATAGCCCCAGTACCTCGCACACTGGGCCCAGCCGTTTCCGTCGTCGGACGGTGTGGCGACCGGTGAGAGGCGAAGAAATCTCGGGTTGTGCAGGACCCCGTTTGGACCATAACAGCACTCCCTCCACACGACACGGAGACTGTTTCCTACCCTATACCTACAACGAGAGAACACTCTCTTCCAATGTCGCTCTCCAGGAGCTCCTCGATGCGGCTAATCACATTAAGTATTATGTGATTGCGCTGCAAGGAACTAAGAGCAGGAGGACGTATGATGACTGAATGATAGAACCCTCCATCATCCGTGGTGAAAAGCTTTCATCGCGAAACTTCGCGGCGTTGGTTTCGTAATGCACAAATCTGTCGTCCATCTCGTCGACTACCACGAGGTCCTGTCTCCTCGATCTGCCATCCTACGCCTACGACATACGCACCTGAAGACCATCTCTATCCTCAACTGCTGCTCTCCGCACTCTACAGCTGACGAAGTAGAGCTCGAAGCGTTTCACAACCAACCTGGGGAGATCATCCACAACGAAAAGTCCTTCTACAAATTGTGGGAGATTCCGTCGCTGGGCTTAGCGGAGTACAGGTGAAGGAGTTAAGGAATGGAAATTTTGAAATCGGGGACAGGAACGACAACGGAAACCGTTTAGCTGGACCCTTCTTCCAGAAGGGCTATCGCCGCTGGACATGGGGTCATGCTGAACTGGGCCACATATTAACAAACAGAAAGTGGTGCCCACTAGATCTTGGTGTGATGCAATCTTTTTGCAGTGGTGCTGATCGTCGACTCCTTCGCGCTAAGATCTGGTTCAGTCACAAGCTGGAAAAGATTCCTCAACATCACGCACAGTGCTAGAGGCATGTTGTATACGACGGAGATGTTCTATGACGCTTCGTCCCCGTACGGCTGGGAGGTCTGTGATGACCTGACCGGAGACAATGACGCGCTGGTTCGGGGTCTCCTTGCCTGTGCTAAAGAGGCCGAGGTTCCTCGAATGGATAGTGTGGTAGATCCGCTCACACTTCATATGCGACGAAGGACCTTCTCAGGACAAGAAGAAACTTGAGGCTTGACCAGAACGACACACATCTTGAAGGGCTGCAAGCGAATCAGCTGCAGACAGGCAGTGTGGCGGGACCTTTAGCTATACTGGGAGAGGAGACTACTGGAGGCAGTCTCGAACAAAACTAGGCTGAGAAAATGCCAACGGGATCTTTAAAGGCACGGCTCACGTTAAAAATGGTTCCTGAGTTCTCCTCGTAGAAATACTCAGTGGCCCCCGAAGGTAATGAAAGGGACTCTCTCGCGCCCAAAAACTAGACGGTTAGGGCATAGTGAAGGCCCTGTTCCCGGCTCGTGCGGCCTTCCCGCCTCTCGATCGATGTCACGTCAGAAGAGTGTCCAGGCGATACAGATTGCAATTACTCTTTCTAGGACCCATACGCAATCAGGCGATCGCCGAGTGATCAGGTGATGTTTTCCTCCTTTGTTTTATTTTTCCTTCTGTTATTCTTTTAGCTGGCGCGATCCCTTATTTAACTTCCCACCATAAGTGGCTGAAAAGGGTGAGTTATTATTGCTGTTTCTAGTTTTTTGTTTTCTTATGTTTATAAGTGAATGAATTTTTGCTTACCGTAGTCAGTTATTTGCGCCAGGACCCACACGTACGCAATGGCCCTCGTATACCTCGTCCAAACGCACCACTCTTCTTCATTCTTATGGTCTCACTCTCGTCCACCCCCTTTTCAACGATTTTTCACTTTGGAAACACCGATTCGCGCAGTTCTTTCGTCTTCATCGCACTATTTTCCATCTTATCTTCCATTTTTCGTCTTGATCTGGATTACCCGAAATTACCGTTGACTGCATTAACCGATCCACGACACACGTGCAAAAACCGAAAATCCCCACTGGCGGAACAGCACCTCGGATCCTTCCTTCGGAGGTGAGAGTTGCGATTACGAGCATGAAAGCGGGCACAACTCCAGGCCCCAACAAGATCTCAGTCGACCTACTCCGTGCAGGAAGCTACGAACTTCATGCGCTTCTCGCAACACATATGACATCCTACCTTCAGAAGGAGAAGATCCCATACTAGCTCAGGAACTTGCGGATGATCATTCTTCACAAGAAGGAAGGCCGAGATGATCTTCGCAACTACCGCCCAATCAGCTTGTTAAGTGTGCTTTACAAGCTGTTCACAAAGATCATTTTCACCCGCATATCGTGAACGTTGGATGAAGCTCAACCTGTAGAGCAGGTCGTTGCTTAGACCATATCTAGGCGGTCGCAATGGTCATCGAAGTGTGCCGAGAATTCCGAATGCCTCTTGTCCTTAACTTTGTCGACTACGAAAAAGCTGTCGACAGCGTCGAAACGAATGCGGTCCTGTCAGCACTGGTTGATGAAGGAGTGGTCCTCCTTACATAAGAGCACTAGCTGACTGCAGCAGTGGCTGCAGCGCGACGGTGAAGCTGTTCCAGCGACTTCTCCTCGTTCCCATAAGAAAGGATGTGAGACAAGGCGGCACTTATTCGCCGAATCTATTCACAGCTGCGCTGCAGTGGGTTATGAAGTCGCTCGATTGGGAGGAAAGGGCGTTCGTGTGGATGGACGGTTCCGCTCAAATCTCAGCTTCGCGGACGACATCGTTCTATTTTCAAGCAGCATTGCGGAAGCTGAGACTATGCTTGCTGAGATTAATAGGGCAGAAAAGAAGGTAGGGCTGCGGATCAACTAAACAAAGTCTCAGTTCGTGAGGAATGCTCGGGCCGACGAAGATCAAATTAAGATCGATGGTACACCCATCAAGGAGACCTCGTCATACGTTTATCTCGGGCGTTCCATTAATATGGACAACGACAGGAGGGAAGAAGTTGCGAGACTTCAGGAAGCAGCGTGCACAGCCTTCGGGCCTCTGAAAGAGGTCACCAACCATCTGGCTGTTCCGGAACTTCGCACTAATCTTTTTGAACCCACAATTCTTCGTGCGCTCTGTTACGGGTCGGAGTCTTGGGTGACCAGTGCATCCATGTCAAGGGCTCTGTGCACAAGTCACAAAGCGCTCGAGCGATGTCTTTTGTGGTTCAACCGGCTCACTCGATGTCGAGCCGCACTCCGCAGCTCCGATTTGCGCAGAATGTCTCGACTCCGCGATCCCGTGGAATACATGGGGCACGCAAAATTTTGGTGGGGCGGTAATATAATGAGGAGAGATGATGGCAGATGGACATAAAGATTATTTAAGTGAGCTCCAGTAGGATCTTGACGGTCTGAGGGATGGCTTGCTGCGAGATGGGGAGACTGCTTGTCGATCACGTTAAACAGCTGCGAATGCAGCTGAACGACTTCTCAGATCGCCATCTTCGTCAAATCCTGAGTCTATCGTGCATGGCGATCGCGAAAGACAGAAGAGAATGGTTCGTTGCTGGTGCTCGCACATGAGTGAAGACGAGTCGTATAAGTAAAAATATTAAGTAGGTCTCGATTCCAAGTGGCATACGATTCTAATGGAACAGTCTTCAAGGTGAGTTGATCACAGCTTCATTGAAGGCTCTGCAGACAGCTCTATCTGATGATAGGAATCGGATGGCTTCACTTGCGAAAGTATGGTCTCTCCATTTGAAGATGCGAACACGTCCTCAGGGTGGGAAGGAGATGATCGGGAGACCATAGGTCCTCGTTAAGTACAGTGGGTAATACAGCAAACTGCCTTATTTTTTAATTTGTCATTTTGATATATACGACTGATGCAGTCCATCCGATGGCTGACTGTTGTGATGATACTCATTTTTTGAGCTGTCATGGTTCATTTCGAGGAATTCCAAGGCGAAGTGGGTGTAGCGGAATACGGAACGGGTATTGAGTAAAAAAAGTAACGTCGTCTCACTTTTCCGTACAGAAACCGGGCCTTCACTGAGCACTTCAGAATACTTTTCTTTCAGCTCTTACTCGAATGAAGAGCTGCATTCCGAGGTGATCTTTGCCATCATAATTTTCATGTGATGCAAAATCTCTTCGTTAGTTTGTGCCTATTCGATTTCTATTGACGAACCTTACGGTGTTAATCGCATCCTATACTTTTACTGCGATTCAATTCAATTTTATACATCAGCTTTCCGGCTCCTCATATGGTCACCACTGCATTTTTCACAGTTCGTCTTTCAGTTTCGCCAACTTCATCTTCTCCCAGACAACCTCAACAATTTATAAAGTTATGTATGATCTCTTCTCACGTAGAAAATTAGAGAAAATTAGTGAAAGATTAAATGGCCATGCACAAATGCCTAAATGATAATTTCTGTGAATCGAATATGCCTATTGGGATCGACCTTGGCATACTTCCTTTTGTCGAACTTTGATGGCTTTTTCTCAAAGTTTTTATGCGCTCAGCTGTTGCTTTCTGACTAGCGATTTCACGAAATTTCTCCCAATGGTCACTTCTTACATTATCTTGCATACTGCTTCTCTGGCGATTACAACACTAGAAGGATTTCTGATTTTCTTTTTTTTTGCCCGGACAGCCTTTACATCAGATATTCTCAAATCCCTTTCAAGACTCAGGAACTTGCCGAACTCCTGGCAAGACTAAACGAATATTTTCTGGCTTGCTTTGTATCCTTTGTCGAGTATTGCCATGAGTCGTTGTCAGATCTCAGCTTGTTTGCAGCTTCAGCCCAATATCCAGAAGAAGCACTTGATACCATGCCAATTTCATCCATGAAGTTTGGTATCTCACAAAAGCTGTTGAATCTATCGGTGTAGCCGAGGTGATTGTGGTTGTCGCTTTTCTCAAGCTTCAGACGTGATGTTTGATAGTGAACCCGGAAGCTTCCAATTCGATATAGTGCATCAGGATATATGTTATCTAAAGTTTTTCCATAACGATATTTGACACGTTTCAAGGCAATACGTGTCCTTCGTCCTTCTCAACAGAACACTACCAAGCTTTTGCCAAAAAACCCTCACCCTCTCTGCATCAGGAAGTTGTCGTGTATATTCACCATTTCTTTGATCATTTCCTTGTACCTTGAGCAACTCAGAGAACCCCATCCCCGAATCAACATCATACACGAGCTTTTCGAGACATGGTCATCACGACCATCGCGTTTGGCGTTAAGGCTTGTTAAACCCTAGCACAATCACCAGTTCCATCTTCCACACGACCTAATAGCATCAGAAACGATCCTCAATGAATCTCTTTTGTTACTGAATCAACTACTTGAGGATTGCCAGCAGCTGCAGTTGATCAATTCTTCGCCTGATCGCCAGATGGTGTGTCTTTATCCGATGTTGGCGACTGCTTCATTGAGGTCCGGGACACAACACAAACAGTTTATTCCTACTCGAATTCAGTTTATATAGTGTAGTGAGAGGCTTCTCAGAATAATATTCATCATGAGTCCATTCCATTACACAATAATAACAATTATATACATAGCAGCATTAGCAATAATTAAACGACGATATAAGAACAAAAGCAGAGAATAACAATTTGAAGATTGTGGAGCACAAAGTTTTGATTTCTTGCAGTCCCTATCCATCATGACAGTGGAATGCAATTTTAGACGACTGTGCTTACTGTGGCCAACTCTTTACACAATTACAGACTGAAATCTCGTCCAAGTACTCCTTCATGCCATTTTCCTCGTAGGAATCCTATTTTTACCATTTTCAGAGTCCTTATACTCCTTACATTCTATGAGCGTTGCGCCTTCTTCAACATCGATGCACTGTTTTGCAACATCTCTCGTTATTTACCTCGAAATACGTAGCTCGGAACTGTGCGTTTAAAGCAGCGAGTCGGCTGCACGTAGCGACCCAATGTTCGCTGCCATGGAAGAAGTTATGAGTCTGAGGCTCTCCAGTATAAATGCCTCAGTCGAGATCGCATTTTCGATGGAACCTCAGAAAAACCTTCCAGAAGCCTTCTGCTCAGATCTCTCAAGCAAAAAGGTCCAGGTCCTGACGTGATCCAACATTCTGCCGGTTAATGAGAAAGTTCTGAGACACAAATCCTACTGCATCACTATCGCGGTTAGACCGCTGTTCTTGCAATCCATCGTTCCCAGAGCTTCCAGCATTCTCATCTGATTAAAGATTGGTTTTGCCGGGAATGTTTCTGTATTCCGGCGCTTACCAGCGTGATCTTGTGAAGCAAATGCTAGCGACCGTATAAGTACGCTGGCATGCGCTGAAACGTCAGTTCTTCCTCTCAGACGCTTGTGCTTCCATGTATTTGCGATTTCTCCTTTAACCTCCTCGTATCAAATAACTTTTTGGAATCACACATATACGCTCATATTACCATGCTTAGGGACGGAGGTGGTGTAGTGGCAAGGGGCGCACTATATTACACGCACGGTCAGGGGTTCGAATCCCGGATCGATGCCCGCCTAGGCCAACCAAGCCTTCCATCCCTCTGGGTTGGTACCAGACTCGTCTGAGAGGATAAAAGCACTGACTTGTGCATCAGCTGGCCATCGCAGGTGTGGGCCACTACGATTCTGAACGGAAGTCAAGTGCGGGGGCGTATCCCTCAGACGGGATTGATTAACGCCAAAAACTTTATCCTTTATCCTTTATTACCACGCTTCTCATATAAGAGGCCTTTCTTTTATAGTGCCTTGTGCCATTTGCACGGGTTCTCCATTACTGGGATCTCGTTTATCGTTGATTGACTCATGTCACTGCAACCCTTCCTTCAGATTGTATTGGTTTGAATACCCATGTTTGAGGTAAAATAAAGTTGTCTTGCGCCGAGTGTCGTGGTTGCACTGTGATTTAAATTTGAACCACCCGAATAGCTTTAATCACCATCTCTCCACAAGAACTTTTGCGTTTTTCCGCACTGTCATCACACTTCATAGTCCTCTTAATCTCATACATAGTTGCCGCCAATAACACTGTACAGATCCCCGAGCGCTTCTTTCGCAGGCCATGTCGCATTTGTCAAGAGATAAACTTTGAAGCAATCTGATTAAATAGGGTCCCGAAGCTCCAGTGCTCACTCCGCTGCCTCCGACCTGCATTTAGAAAGGATACCGTCACCCATGCAAATGCTGGAAGTTTATTTGCTTGCGACCAGTCTGGAGATACCTCGCTCGACGACCAGTCGCTATCGTGATGACCTACTTCCATGAAACGAAGAAAAGCGTAGACTACGAGCAAGAAATTGGCAAAGTTTGTGCTCGATGGATTCCGTGCCAATTGACAGATGACTTCCATCGTACACAGTACCAGTCAACCAGTCTCTTCTTCTCACCAATTGTAAGCAACCCTCAATTGTTAGCAATTTTTGGAAGAACTTGTGAAGGGAAGTGAGAGCTGGATCCTTCACGACAGTAACAAGAGGTCGCTGTCTGACTTTCAAAAAGATTCGATATTGCAACTCAAGCCAGAACAGCACCAGAGGAGGATTCTGTTGAGGCTACTGGGACTGGAGAGGAACGCTATACCAAGGTTAGACACAGCTACCATATACAGCGGCCAAGTCTGAGAACTCGCCATTGCAATTGAAAAGCAGCAATCGAGAAAGACTCCTGCCTATCTTCTTCAGATGATGCTCGGCTTCACGTCGCAATAACTACGCAGCCCAAGTCACAGGAACGTGCGTGGATTCCTAAAGCCAGCCTCCCTAGTCCTGCTACCTCGTCCCCTCTCGCTATGACGTTATTAAACAGCTCGAACAGTTCCTGGCCAAGAAGAAGTTCACCACTTTCGATTACTTTGAAAAGTGAAGACCGACGCTTTCGACTGACCATTTCCCCCTTTTTGGGAGGAGGAAATAGCCGACTTGCTCACTTGTCGGATAAATGTCATATATAATGGTGCTGATTATATTATTCTACGAGCGAGAGTAAAATAATTCGTAAAAGAATTTGAAACTGGCATCGAGACTTCTATTATATATCCTTTTGATATTCAGTTAGTACACGTTACAAATATCACTGCAGTAACAACTCACAATTCGAATGTTTCGTCGAAGATCGGGTTCAGAGTTTTGCTGACAACGCGCGTCTTACTAACAACTTGTGTCGGAAATCGATACTTGGGAACAAGTCGGATCACAACAAAGGGATCCGAAAGGCCGTTAGCATCTAAAGGAATCACTTGCTTCGCACCGATCACTGAAATTTATGGAGTGTTATTGCAACGAACACTTGGTAATCACAATTTATCAGCATACCGTCCAGTACGAGGGTCTGTGAGTTTGCGTTATAGTAAGCCCGCACATTTAGAATACCGTATTTGCATTCGCTTACATCGTTCTGAAATAACTGTGTTATGCTCCGAAAACGCGCTGGATTTTTTCCTAATTGATTTTGCCCAATATAGCCACAAGAAACGAGCACTCTTTTGCAGGTTAGCTACTGCGTAAGCCGTACATGCCATTTTATGCTACTCATGGATGATGGAGATAACTGACATTATCATCATCGAAAGGTTAAGGTACAAAGGGAAAATGAATGTATACACAAAGGGAGATATCAGCAAAGAATAACAATTCGAGGGTCAAGGATTATGAAGGACTCTTCTCGTTCTGTCGCCACAGTGATTACTTTACCTCTAAGGTCATTATGTTTGCAACTGGGTATAAGTAAATATGTATTGATTGCAACTGGGTATATACATATAACCGATCTGCAGAGTATTTATATGGCTTGATATCTACCAGAGGCGGGAATATGCGGTATTGGTGGAAGGTTCAAATGGTCGCAGACCTCAATCAGGCAAAAATGAGGGACACGCATTGGGGGTCTTAGCCTAGCCTTAGTAAGTAGCCATATTATAGCTGAACCGTTAAATGTTCTCAAACCATCTTCATGGTGGCTTGGCCTTGATAAAGGGTGCGCCATAAATATGGTAACAACTTTTCGGACGTCCGTAATTTCCTTGTTTGGAGGGTTTCTCCAAATCTGCACCTCATCTTATGTTTATGATATACCTTAGTTCACATATCTACTTTGGTGTTCTCCACCTCGCAGACATCCACCGACCGTACCGTTTTTGCACGCATTTGGTGAGTCCTTTTCCGGGTTCGTTCCTCGTTTCAACACTTCCCACATGACATTCTCTTGGATCGCGTTGCTAGACAGGTCAACAACAAATTTCAGTACGGTCGCATTGTTTCACATACGACCCCTTTCCCAAATAAAATTGCTTGGGAGGAATACGCTGCGGGACCTGTAGAAACACAAGGAAAATGACTGCTGATTTGTTTGTATGTTCTAATCCGACGGGAAGGGACTTTCAATAGTAAATACAATTGTATCCAAACAAGATCAAAAGTCTTATAAGCTTTCTGACGAAAATAAGTTCAAGAGAAAAAAGAAATGCCGTGCGCTACTCGCGCGCGGCACGAGCTTTGACACACTTTTTTTCTGACCAAAGGGTGTTCAGCGTGGAGGAACTGCTGAGATCCCAAAATACACGAATGTTTCACACTACGAGTGCCGAAGCCGTTGAGGAGAGTCAGATCGCCTCTCAAAGCCATTTTTTCTCTTGTATGATAGTTTGGGCTAGAATTTCTACGACCGCTGCGATATCGCGAATTTTGGTCGAGAAAAGTACATAGCTTATTCTGATATTTATTATGAACGGGTTTTCTGCAAGAATGCAGCTGAGAGTCAAAGATCTCTCTAGGGATACTTAGAAAACTTGCTCACGAATGGGAAAAGAACGAGACAATTTTTTGACGAGAGGAAATTCGAAAGAAGGAAAAAACTTGTGCCCAACTTGCACGTGGCACGCGCTTTGACACAATTTTTCACAAAGGTGTTCAGCGTAAAATGTTCAGATCCGAGAGTACATGTATATTTTTACGACAAGTGAGAAGGGTCCAGTCGTTTCTCGTAGAATCTTCCTCTTCCATGACGGTTTGGGCTGGAATCTGTGCCATCAGAGCAATAGCGCTTATTTTTCTCCGAGAAAAGTATAAAAACTGATAAGAACATCTCCATGAGGGACATTTCTGAAGTGGTGCTTGGGGTCAGAGTTTATCTCGGAGATACGACCCGGAAACATCGCTGCTCGCTCACGAATGAAAAAAGTTCAAGACTGGTAGAGGAGATGTCCGCAAATTAAGCGCTGCTTGAAATTGACCTACGAATTTTCTGGCCCGGCCATCCGAAGGATCCGTGGGTATATGTATACTGGAGAAGGAAACCTGCGCTGCAAAACGCACCACTGTTGCTGCTCCTAAGAAATCATTGAAAAAGTCCGGGCTAGTGTTTCTCAAGAAACCGTCGATGAGTAGCCGAAGCTTCTTCCAGCTATAATTAGTGCAGGAGAAGGTTATATAAGACGACCGTGTGTTCGCTTGGTAGATGTGATGCATAGTAAATAGTTCATGTAAATTTACCATGTATCAATACGAACTGCTGTTTCTGTAGCCAAATTATTTTGTTACCATATTTATGGCGCACCCCGTATTTCTATAAGTACAGGGTACCTCATACTTACAAAATTGCATAGGCACGAGCAGACTTTCTTTCGATGCTACTAGCGGTGCGCTACTGAGTTTTAGAAACATCTACGTATGAGAAGGCCAACTCACGTTCGCGTTATGTTTGATCAAAGCCTAAAACGAGACGGAAGACGACAAAATAGAAACAGTAAGACGGACGGCAACTAACTTGTTGTTTAAGCAGATTTTTATAATATTTTTCAATAAGTTGCTGAGTTGTTGTCTGATTTAGCGACAGTACTTTAACCAAAGCCTATAAAAAGAGGGTATTATGGAACTTAGAGGCTTCGATGATACATTTAGTAACATCACAGACCACATGTTGTGGACATGCCTCCAAGGCCTCCATCGAAAGCCCCTTACCACATGCATGGAAAAAGTCGACGAGTACATGCCACGCTTCGAACAGGCGATGGTAGAACGCCGGTTCCATCTATGAATGGAAGAATTGTTCTAGGTTCAAACATAAAATCAGCCTTCCAGCAATCAAAGAAAACAGGAAAATGCAAAATTTCCAATTGCTTACTCCAGGGTTTTCGTCTACACATTCTTTTAGTAGATGCACGATAATTCCCACTTGAACCGACATTACCCGCAGAAAATTCTTGTGTAGGAGATTCTTATGTACAGCTGAGAGCTCGATATCAATCTAAAATAGAAATGGAGGAATTTTCTGCTGCAATATGAGTCTGAAAATCTGATGCAAGCTTTCAATCATTGCAAACTTTCAAAGCCAAACGTTTAGGTCCACAATGCACATACCATGTTCTGCCATATTCATGGAACATGTATTCCTTTCAGAGATACTTCAAGTACTCCCATTGGGAAGACTCTCATCAAATCCCTATAATCCTGATATGAACAGTGTGGGGCTTACGGGAGTGACTGGCAGTTTGCAATTGTTGAAAGCTTGCAGCATATTCGCGGAACGCATGAGATTGATGAACCATGTCCAAAATCAGCTAGTGCCGTGCCGTGCCGTAAATCTTATACTTGGTTCGCCGCGAGGAAATATATGAGCAAATATGGCGCCATCATTGAAAATTTGTTCTGAACTTTACATATTTATTCATCGATGGAAATCATACCATGTCAGTGAGTGGTTTTAAGGAATCCTCGACTGTATGCGCAGATGGACTCCATGCCAGATGAAACACATGCTTTTTCATTTGAGGTTTTAGTCGCGAAGATAGCACGACAATAACTCGATCGATCTCGGCACAAATCACAGCATCAGTCTGTTCAAAGCGCTGCTCCACAGCTGCCTTCCATGTAGGAGTTCCCTTAAAAGCACTCATGAGGAGACCTTTGTCGGGCCTACTGAATGACCATTCTAAAACTTCTTTACATTTTTCGTTAAGACTCATCAAATGCGTTTTCAAACTCGTATGTTCCTAGCCTTTCTCTCGCTTTCAACTCCTTTGTCATTCCTTCATCAACAAATCTGTCTCACTGAGCCTCATAGATTCTTAATATTCATATCATTATTACACTACTATATATAACGCACTCGCCTCTGTCTGTTTGTCTGTTTGTGCAGAAATTCGATAGGACCGGAAGAAGTACCCGCAGAAGCCGGTCAGGTTTGGGATGGGCTGGACATAGGACAAGACCAACAGAGCACACGTGAGCTGAGCGCAGCTCCGTCCACAGGGGGCGGGGATGCACGGGAATGGGCGGTGGCTTGGGCAAAATGTCTGAGTTATTTTTCATAACAGCAAAGACGCCCATAAAAATGGGCGAAGGTGAGGGATGGGTCAACAAGTAAACTGATGAAGATTTACCGACGAAGCGATAATGGGCGGTACTTACCACATAAAATCAAAACTCGATTCAGCGGAAGCGTTGAGACCAGGAAAAAAATGAAAAGAGTGAGCTTGGCCTTATTCGTGCTGGCGATTGGTAAAAATATTGAAGCTCCACCCACGATGGGCGAGAATGGTCCAATAAATCCTACTCACTCGAGGGACACGGGGGAGCACTCATTTCATTTAGGATTTTCGTGAAGAAGTCTGGCCAACACGCTGGTGCCAAACTGTTGTTCATTTGACGTCCCGAGGGATCCAGTCAGTTCCCGCCCTGGTCCAACGGCCCTCACTATATCGCATAACGTGTCCGGCCCACCTGATCTTCGATTTCCGGGCATAATCAATGGCATCCCTGATCTGGGATCGATGACGGAGCTCGGCACTCCGGTTTCCCTTCTGCATTTGGCGTGTAGGGAAATTTCTCTCCACAGCACGTCGAATGACGCTGGCCGCATACTGATCCTGCTGAGACCGCGGTGTCGAGAAGCTGAGCGCTGAGCCTGATGTTTTTCATTGTCTTCAGTGCTCCCTCGATATTCTTAAATGCTCTTCACGCAGCACGTTTCCTTCTGCTCAGCTCCAGAATTAGGTCGCTCACCGTGTTGACTTCCCAACCTAGATATACATAGCCACAGCATTCAGAAATGTTCGTTTCGCTCAGCGTAAGGGGAGCATCGGGTACCAATCCGTTTATCATGAAAAAAGTCTTCGTTAAGTTTATCAAGCCGATTTTTCCACAAACACTGTCAAACTCGGTCAGCATTCCGGCAGCTCGATATTCGGTGTTATAAGCGCGATGTCGTCTGGCAAAGCAGAGCTGATGTAAATAGCTGTCGCCGACCTTCACTCTCATGCCTTCCCTTACCATATGACGCACGATGTTCTCTGAAAAGTTGGAGCGATATTGTGTTTCCCTGACGAGGGCCTCTCTTCACGTTGATGATGACTTTTAATAGAATAGCGAGATCCTGGTGGTGAAATTGTTGTAGAGCTCACAAAGCATCCTTGAGTTGGAACATCCTGGTTGCCCAGGGCTTCGACTACCGTTTCTGTCTCGACGGTGTCTCAGAGTCTCTCTTCAAATCAACGAAAGTATGACATATTGGCATTTTCTACTCTAACGATTGCAATGAGTTTTGCAACGGTGTGGAAGCGATCGACGGTAATGAACCCTATCCGGAACACTGCTTGCTTGCGTGGCTGTCCATCTAATATTCTACAGACACTATTCTATTCTACAGATACTGTTGAGGTGACGCGTGTGAGTAGTTTGTTAACTGCAGACAGCAGATTGGGCGATAAGTGCCAACATCATCTGGACCTCCCTTCTTATACAACAACACAGTCTTCCTAGTTTTCACGGAGTGGGCACTTTACATTCCGCTAGGTACCGCGTGAAGAGGTGGACCAAAGCTTTGATAAGGACTGGAGGAATGCTCCTTTAATAGCCTGATTTGATAGTACCGAGCGCTGTACAAATCTTCATAGTCGTGATGGCATGTAGAATTTCGGGAAGGAGAACTGAGGGGACGACATATCCGTCTTGCGTAAGATGGTAGGTAGGCAGGTAGAAGTAGCTCTCGAAAAGATCAGAGTAGAAATCGTAGATAACCTTCTCCATTGCCCTTTGAGATGCCGTAACTGTTCCGCTTGCTAGACGAAGGGAAGTCATCTTCGTTTTATAATTGACGAAGCTCCGGCGAGCTTTGCAAATGCTCCTTCACGGCTTCGGCCAAAACTGCTGCTCTTTTCAGATTCCCTTCAATCGCTTCTCTTCTTAACTTCGCAAGTTCGCACGTTAGCTGGTTATTGGCGATCCACGCTGGCGTATCAGCTCGAGAGCCTTCAAAGAGAGACGTCTCTTGGCATCATGGAGCCTCTCTGCTTTCCTGGCACTGTCGTGAAGATGCTTGACAAGCCGGTCGTATTCTTCATCGATGTTGTCGCTAATGGAATCTCCCTACAAACTCGTACGTGAAGCGAAGTGATCCCAGTTGGCAACACTCATAGAGCTCCGTTTCCTAAATTTCGCAGCTTTCCCTCCACGCACTGAAAAGTAGAATCTTGTGGGAGGAGACGATGGTCTGATCCCGTGCAGAAATTCGGAACAACAGAGACGTCGGTCAGGCGAAGCTTTCGATTGAATATGACGTGATCTATTTCATTATGGATGTGCCCATCACATGACCCCCATGTCCATCGCAAGTGAGAGGGCTCTGGAACAGCGAGTCACCATGGATAGTGTGGGTCGACATGATAAACTTGGATACTCGGATTCATGAAAAAAAAACTTAAAATTACAGAAAACCCGGACTTTTTTTTTAAAAATAGTGATTAAAATGGGCACGCCCACACGCAACACGTTTTCACCCAATTGGCCCAACTGGTACAATGGATAACACGCTCGCGTCTGGCTGTCTGTTTGTCACGGAGTCCGATATTAGCTGAAGAGGTCGGATCAAATTTGGGATGGGTTGAGCATAGCGCAAGATAAACAGAGCACATGCGAGCTCAGCGGAGCTTCGCCCACGGGGAGCGGGATATGCGCAGCCGTGAGCAGTGTCATAGGCGAAACCTCCCAATTAGGTTTTATTTTTGCCAATGCCAAGGAAAATGAGCAAGGGAGAGGAAATGGTCAATAAGTGAAATGAAGGAGTCTCAACGGCGGTAGGCGGAGCGCCCTCGCAGTGCATTCCACATAGGTTCATAACTCGATTCAACGAAGGTGTGGAGGTCAAAAAATAATAATAGGAGCGCGCGAGGCCTCGCGCGTGCTAAGAGTACGTTAACTAAGCTAAGCTCCGCCCATCATGGGTGGAGCGCAAGTTCAAATAGAAGTTAATTTCGAAAATACATATAACTTTTCAAAAACGATTTAGAATGCGAAAAAACTGATTAGAGGTGATAGATGTAATGCAGTCAAATTCTCAAAGTAGGCGAGAATTGCACCAGGTTGGGCGGAACTCAGATCAGAGAATCATAACTCTTTTCAGGGAAATTCTCGAGTGCGAAAAAAAGTGGTCAGAAATAGAAGTTAGAAAGAATGCAGGTAAATCTTCGAAATGTGTACGATATGCACTAAGGGGGGCGGGGCTAAGATCAAAAACTCATAACTCTGTGCTGTACGTTCTAGAACGAGGGAACGAAGTGATTCGAGGCCTAAAAGGGGGCGTGTTTGATCTCCCAAAGTGGGCGGGTTCTGCACTAAAGTGGGCGGGTTCTGCACTAAAGTGGGCGGGGTTGAGACCCAAAATTCATAATTCTACTCGGGCCTTCTCGAACGCGGGAAATTGGTTAGGGGTTGTAAAAGGAGGGTGGCTGAATCAACGAAGTGCGTGGGATTTGTAGTAAAACAGGGTGGAGCACAGATCGAAATTTCGCAGTTTTACTCAAAAACTTCTTGTAATGCGAAAAAAGGTTGTCAGATGTGGTTAGATGTTGTAGAATGGATGCGGTCAAATTTTCAGTCCGGGCTGGGCCTGCACTTGGATGGGCGGGGCTAACCCCATAGTCAGATTCTTAAGAGGTGCGAAGAAACCAGAGCTCAGATCAAAAAATTCATCATTGATTGTCGCGTTCTTGGTTTTGACGCACGCGTTAGTGTGTGGAGCACAGCTGATTAGTATATACATATAGGTTGTAAGGAAAGTTCTGGCCGTTCCCACGTACGTGCGATATGAATTAAAATTTTGGCGGCTCTTCATTCAGACTAATCGACATATTGTGCTCCTCAGATAAGTCATTAGTTGCCCTTTCTGCCATAGCGCTTTCCCCAGAATCTGTAAGGTTTTGGAATTTTTAGGAGGTTTTTTTTGGCAGAATGGATAAGACGACTTTTTGAATGGTTTTACTTCACGAGTTCAAACTTGGTCGAACTGCGAAGAAGGCAGCCACAAACATCAATGTTACATGGGGAGAAGGCACTGCATCGTAGCGAATGGTTTGTCGCTGGTTCCAGAAGTTAAGAAGTGGAGACGAGTCACTGAAAGACGATGAGAGAGTTGGTCGGCCACCCTTAGTTGATCACGATGTTTTGCTAAGAGCAGTCGAAGAAGATCGACGTCAACCTTTGAGAGAGATTGCCAAGAAGATGGTTGTCTCCCACACACTTCTCGCTGCCCTCCTTAAGCAGCTTGGAATGGTGAAGAAGCTTGACAAGTGGGTGCCGCACGAACTCACGGAGCAGCAACAATTGAAGCGCTTAGAGCTTTTAAATTCGCTGTTAAAAAGGAATGATTTTGAGCCTTTTCTCCACAGTATTGTAACGTGTGATGAGAAATGGATCTTGTATGATAATAACTGGAAGCGTTCTGCTCAGTGGGTGGGTGTGGATGAGCCTCCGAAAAATTTCCCAAAGTAAGGTTACACGTCACGAAGAAAATAAACACAGTTTGGTGGTCCAGCCATGAATTAATTCACTACGCGTTTCTTCCTCAAAGTCCAACCATCACCGCACAGCTCTATTGTGATCAAATTCACGAGAAGTACACGAATTTGGGGTAAATGCAGCCAGTACTAGTCAATCGCCACGGTCTACTGCTCTTGCACGACAATGCACAACTGCATGTGTCACAAACTGCTTTCCAGAAGCTGAACAAGCTGCGAACCGAAGCTCTCCCTCAACGATTCTACTCATCGGACCTGTCACCAACTGACTACCATTTGTTCGAACATCTGGGCAGCTTCTTAAAGGAACGAGTATTCAAAAATCAAGGCGACGTGGAAGCTGCCTTTCTCGAAATCTTGGAATCCAGATATCCGGACTTTTATAAGAATGGGATGAACAGACTTGTATCACGTTGGCGGAAATGTGTGGAATCGAACGGGGCTTATTTCGAAAAAAAGTGTTCACTCTGAAATGAAATATAACTTTTTGAAATTTAGCTGACAAAACGGCCAGAACTTTCCTTACAACCTAATCTAACGCGTTCGCATCTGTCTGCTGACACGAGGCTTGGTATTATCTAAAACAGCACCTGAAGAGTGAGGTCAAGTTCGGATTGGGTTGCGCATAGGGCAAGATGAACAGAGCACTGTGAGCTAGGCTGAGCTCTGCTTAAGGGGGCGAAAATGCACATGAGTGTGCTTTGCTATGGGCAAAACCTCTTGATTTGTTGTCGTGACAGCCTTGTGACGAGGAGGAAAAAATGAGCAAAGATGAGGGATGGGTCAAAAAACTAAATAAAAGAGACCCACCTGTGGTCGGCGGAATATATTGACAGTGGACGGTAGTTTCAACATAAAGCAAAGCAAGACTCTATCCTACAACTGCCTTTAGGTTCGAAGAAGTCTAAAAGGAACGAGCAAGATTTCGTATATGCTAAGCATGCGCAGACATACGGGAGCTCCGCCCACGACGGAAGGGATGCGTTTTCATGAAAGGTGTCTTTTGAAAACATATATATTTCTGTTGAAACTATTTTAGAATGTTGAAAAAAGCCAGAGACTATAAAAGAATTAAGGATAAATCCCAAAAATGGGCGGGTTGCACTGAGATGGGCTGAACAAAGAGCAAAGGCTCTGGCTCTGTTCAAAAAAGTAAAGTGCGGAAAAAGTGGTTAGTGGCAGTTAAAGGAAGGGTAGTCAAATCATCACGGTGGGCACTAGAGTGGGTGAAGCTTTGTCCAAACACCCATAGCACTGTCTAGACTATAGCATAGAGGCCGTTGATGTGATGTGTTCAGAACGTTCTACTACGAGGAAAAGCCTCGCTGCGGGCAGCTGAAGGACAGGTGGCCAATCTATCACGGTGGGTGAGGTCTGCGTTGAGATGAGCTAGGCAAAACGCGAAAACTCGGAACTCTGTTCAAAACCGTTCTAACACGAAGACAGAAGTATTAAGGGGAGGCTGAGAGAAGGACGGTTAAATTTTTAAAGTGGACGGGGCCTGCACTGAGATGGGTGGGGCTAGGATCACATGTTCCGGCTCTGCCCTGTAACCTCCGTTAGACAGCAAAAAAGTGAAAAAAACGCACAGTGAGAAAAACCATTCTCATAATTGAATACTCTCCAGGGTATGCACGTCTAGGAATCCTGTACGCCCAACAAAGCAAGAAAGCCTCACTTCCTCAATTTCTTTTTGAACACAATGGTATTTCGCACTTTTTGCAGGTCAAATGTAACAACTGAAGCCATCTCGCTAAACAGGAAAAAAGCGAAAGAACTACACAGGCCCGACGATTTCTGTTCAGTTTTGGGCATTGTAGAGGTTACAAAGTGGTACGGCGCTTACTCGGCTGTAGCTTGAGTTGACCTTTCAGCATTTTGAAACAGAATACTATATCATTGAATATATTTCTGTACAATGTTTTAAGACTGAAACGGTGCAAGCGGTCATAAAAAAGTTCGATAAGAAAATCTATACACTAATATTCTTGTGTTTGTTGAACTTTCTCAATCTTTGCCTGAAGGCTCCTAGTATGAGAGTTCCATATCTGTGAACCGTATTCAAGTAGGGGAACAACATATGCCTTATACAGCCTTGTCAAAATTGAAGCATCGTTGCATCAAACATTTCTAAAAAAGGCAAAAAGTGCTGCGGAGGCTTTTCGAACTACTACATCAATGTGACGCGATGAATCCAAGTTGGAGGTCTGGACTCGAGGTCGCGAACTTCACATGAAGTGTCCAGTGAAACGTTGTCGACTGTGTGTTGTTCGATTATGGCTTTCCCCGAATTAAGCACATAAGTTTACGCAAGGTTTATAGGTATTCCCAAATCAGCAGTCCACTCCATCATACCGCAAATAGATTAGGTTAGGGACTGGTGTATTCGATCACGACTATCATTGTTGTAAATGCCATATATTTTTATGTCATCGACATACATTTTTACTTTAATCGAAGGGTGTGTATTGAGATATGAAGGTAAGTTGTGTGTGTAAGCTACAAACAACAAAGGATACGGATACAGTACGCCTCATTGCGGAACACCACTGGTGCAAGAATACCCCTGTAAAAAGCTGTTACCCACTCTGACATACATATGGCTATCTTCCGAGTAAGACTGAACCCAGATAAGAGTATAGCCTTCTATTCCTAACTGATAAATTTGGAAAGAAGCTTTCTATTTATCCACACTATCAAAAGCTTTGGACAAATCGAAGTAGATAATATCTATACCCTTCCCTTCGCTAATAGCAAGATTCCAATCAAATACGCAACCTGGATCAGTGCAAATGTGGAAGTACTAATGAAACCGTATTGTTCTATAGGTATAGAATTGTTTCTCATTAGATGCAATACAATTTTACCGTATAGTATTTTTTCCAAGCTTTTAGCTGGCGGCGCTGAAATACTTATGAGTCGAGAAGAAGAGACTAATTTTGGTTCAGTTATTTTAGGTATAGCAGTAACGATAGATTATTTCCAGCTGGATGGGACCTCACTGTACATCAGAGATGCATTAAGTATCGTACAGATAGGTTCGCTCAACAATGTGGCGCACTCCTTGGATTAATTTGTGGAATACCATAAGAGGGTACCGAAGTGGAGCTTTTCAGTGATTTCAATCACACACTTCCCGGAAAGTAATCACACTTTTAGGGTAGGTAACCGAGCGCTCACAGGTCACAGAAGCTAATGCAGAGTTAGCGTCTGTTCTTGTGACAAAAACATATATATATATATATGAATGTCGTTATCATTACTTTCTACCTATCGAATCGTCATCGTTACTAACTATATGTATGTAAAAAATCGCTTCTGTCCGACTACCATTTGCGAAAATCGGTATTACTTGAAGAGGCGGCCAAAGAGACCAGATCAAGTATAGAATGGGTGCCTAGAGCAAAATTATCAGACCACATATTGAGTTAGGAGAACCCCGCCGGGGGAGGGGAGAGAACATACATCGGAACGGGCGATGCAGTGGAAAAAACCTCGTAATTTTGTTTCAGCAAAGCCAGTTACCGGAAAAAAGTTACGAAATGACTAACAAATCAAACGAAGTAGACTCATTAGCGGAGAACGGAGCGCCCTTGAATTTTTTGTATGCACTCACAGCTCATCACAGCCTATATCTTGATTTTTGAATCATGGAGCTCAGATCAGAAAATCTATGACTCTATTCGATGGTTCTTTGTTGCGCCGCTAGCGTGCGGAGCTCAACTTGTTAATACTTGAATTGTGATAGTGTTTTCAAAGCCAGGAGATTCGAAATTGCAAATCCTAAGGCTTTGATCTTTTACCTTTATGCGGTCACAAATTGATTTGTAGCAATAGTCCCCCGCACGAATATATAAAAGTTTCATATTACTGGCTCCCAAGAAATGTTTAAAACATATTTACAAATAGGATGGTCCGAATCATGAATTCTTAACCAGCTGGTTTTGCTTCAAAATGGCAAAAACTAATCAGGTAAGCTCGAATGAGTGAGTGAATCTTTTCATCCTACTGATAATTGATGGGTAGTCAACTTACATGTCCAGCTTTTTCGTACGCGATGGCCAAATCGTCCAGGTGAAGTTTCTCGTGTATCATCAAACTTCGTCTTACTTGCTCACTGTTGTTAATGGCCGAACAAAACTACAAATTGATGATGGTTTCAACCAATTTTTTTCAGAAAAGAATACAATTTTAACCTATAAAGTTGCAACACTGAAATACAGCCTAGACTAAAGAAAAATGCAAGGAGAATAGTGATACTCACCAGCTGCAATAATGGAGTTGGCACGAACATTTGCAGATCGGCAGAGAACCCTTCATCGTTAAGATTTGCGAAGATCTATGTACTCAACTGGTCATTTATTTTCAAATTGTAAGAGTAGACCTTTTGAATGAGCAGCTCACCTTTTTGGTGTAAGTCAGTACGGAGTTGCAGAGAAAATCAACAAGTGTTTTTGTATAGTCGATCCTAAGCGTGATTTCATTGACATCAATACGATCCCAATACACCATCATCTGTGAGACACCCTCGTCAATAAAACGCATTGGTTCAACTAATTGCTGACATTCAGTAAAAGAACGAGTTCAGGCTGCTTAGAGGCAATTGTGGTTACCCTCAAACTCAGATACTGGCTTTGTCTCTATAAGCATGCCATTCCAAGTAATGCTGATGAGCAAGGGTTGCACTCTCGGGTAGAGTAACAAGCATCTAGGATAGCCAAGGCGAACTGAGTGACTTTACTGCAAGGAACTTGAGAATAAAAGGCAGACCCTGGCAGAAATTTTCTGGAGGGGAGATGTTCGAGAAAGTTAGAGCATGCAGCAAAGTGAACAGTGTTTTGTGGAGGAATTGCGCTGCTCCGTGCAATATAACCCCGGTCAAAAATTGCAGAGGTGAAACGAAACCTGACTTTTGACTTCTATGGATATTATTTGAGCGTTTCGATCCATGAAAGCTAAAATTTTTGAAATCACGAATTCTCGACCGAAATCATCGGGTCCTGTATCGCACATCGAATTGATTTCTATCAATAATATAATATATTAAATGAGCAAATAAGTAAATATTATATGCAAAAGTTTCAGACCTGTTCGACAATATGACAAACATCTATATGGCTGCTTGAATGAGACATATCGTTAGATGATGAACAGATCTAAATTGAATTTAATTAGATAGTGATAAAGAAGTATCGTCGCCATGTCGACGATCCCGTCATCTGAAAGCCGTCCCGTCTTTGCGCGCATTTGGTAAGTCATTTTCCAAGATCGCTCATCGCTTTGACACTCCTCGCATGACAGTCTTTTGTCTCGCTATGCGTGGATGGGACAACGACAAGTCCCAAGATTGTCCTCCGTTCCCGATTATGACCTCTATTAAAAATAGATATGACAAAAATGACTACAGACTTGAGTGCATGTTTTACTTCAAGGAGAATAGTCTTTCTCGAGCAAATACAATTCTAACCGGCTCGGTTACGGAATCGTTATAAATTTTTTGACGGTTACGGAATTGAGAAGAAATTTGAAAGAAGGAACAAACTTGTGCCCTATTCGCACGTGGCTAGCGCTTTGACACAATTTTTCACAAAGGTGTTCAGCGTAAAATGTTCTGATCCGAGAGTACACGTATATTTTTCTCGTAGAATCTTCCTCTTCCATGACGGTTTGGGCTGGAATCTGTGCCATCAGAGCGATAGCGCTTCTTTTTTCCGAGAAAAGTATAAAAACTGATCAGAACATCTCCATGAGGGACATTCCTAAAGTGGTGCTTGGGGCCAGAGTTTATCTTGGAGATACGACCCGGAAACATCGCTGCTCGCTCACGAATGAAAAAAGTTCAAGACTGGTAGAGGAGATGTCCGCAATTTCAGCGCTGCTTGAAATTGACCCACGAATTTTCTGGCCCCGCCATCCGAAGGATCCGTGGGTATATGTATACTGGAGAAGGAAACCTGCGCTCCAAATCACACTACTGTTGCTACATCTGAGAAATCGTTGAAAAAAGCTCGAGCTGGAGTTTCTCTGAAGGTTCTGCGTGCCGCTTCCATGAGTACCCGAAGCATCTTTGAGCTATAATTAGCAAGGAGAGGGTATATACGGGGTGTCCCAAAATAAATTGCGTGAAAATTCAGTAAATTTTAAGGTAGAAACAGTCTATCAAATTCACATTACCTGTTACTAATTAGTTGCATGAGAAGGTTTCCTTGCAATACGCATGGTTGCTGATGTGAAACTCCCATTTTCTTTCAGATGGAGGAGGTTCATTCATTGTCACTTGCAATAGTTGACGCGCGAGAAGTGGAAGGGCGTTATGAAATGCTTTGGGATTTTTCTAATAACCGTATAGGAGGCTATGAAACGATATAGAAAAGAAGATTGAATCAGAGTCAAACCAGGAAAGATAAAAAGGTAGAATGTTTCTGAAGATAGGACTATTAAAATGGTCCGTATGCCAATCGGTCGGGATCCTGGGTGACCCATCAAAAGGAAGTCAACGGGCACGGCTTATCCGAGTTATCGCGATGGAGGAATGTCATGCAGGAGCTTTACTGCCGTTCCTATCGTATGCAGAAATTTCGCTTCAATTCCGATCTCAACAGATACTGCAGGGCCAAAATTGCAGAAAGTCGAAAGTGGTTACACGCAACCTTTCGTCGTTTTCTCTGGTCAAGAAAATTTTTACGATAAAGCCATTCCTCAACAACCAAAACATTCGCGTTCCGGAAAGAAACATCCAGCGTGTAAGATCTCACAAAAAGGTTGTTATCAGAACAGTAAAATGATGTTTTTCGAGGGAATCACTGGCAAGGATAAGCCGCTCGTGGCTTCTTCGGTGCAGGCGTGAAAATTGAACAAGACCATACTCAAACGGCGTACTAATGGAAGTAAATAAAACATTGATCCGACTAGGTTTTCTGAAACATCTCATAGTCCTTCCAGCAGGACGCTACTCCAGCCCACAGAGCCAAGTTTGCCCGCGAGTGGTGCCGACGACAGCTGCCCGACTTCATTGGTGAAGAGGAATGGTCATCCTATTTTCCAGAACTTGACTCACTTGAATCCCACGAATGGTCCCTGATTAGAAGAGGGCCTGTCGAGTTTGCAGTCCTAGTTTGAAGTCCTAGAATGCAAAAGCTGGAGGACGGCTGGGAAGAAATGGAGAAGGATACCTGCGTGCCACATGCGATCAAGCCGAAAGCAAACTTTGACTTCTATTCGCGCTCACTGGGGATATTTTGAAATGCGACTTTAGCATGTTGTAGCACATAGTGTTAGCTAGTGTGCATAGAAATTCCATCGTCTTTCGCAGTTGAGAAGTTTCGAATATATTGCTATAAATCGGCGCAAATAATTTTGGGACACCCTGTAGATGAGCGCACGTTCATTCTGTTGATGCGATGCATAGTAAATAGCTCACATAAAGTCACCATGTATCTATATAAAATGTGTTTTCTGCACAAGAATTATTTTGTTACCAGGTCCTCGTTCCTCTTACCTGGGGGAACGACAACTTAGGATAAAAAATGCAGAAGGTTGCTGACTCGTATGCACGCATCCCTCCACAGTTTTCTCCGTAGAGAAGCTCTTTATGGTGAGAGTCAATTCTCATCAGAGGAGCGGTAGCGTTCTTGAGCCTCTGGAGCATCGAACGGGCTATCTCGATAGGAGGTCGCGGTTTCGTCGGTACCGGCGTGGAAATTGACATAGGCGTGCGCTTAAAGAAGATAATGATGAAGTACTGGAGTCTCTATCCGGTTCCGTTCTCTAGAGTAACCCGTGGTTCTTCAAGCAGGACGACAGACACACCACAGACCCCACAGAGCCAAACCCATCCAAGAGTGGTGCCATGGCGAACTGCCCGGCTTCATTAAACACATGGAATGTCCATCTTGCTCGCCAGATCTTAACCCACTCGTCTTCTCTTTGTGGTCCCTGATCAGGAGGGAGTCTGTCGGGTTGGCTATCCAAGCTTGGAATCTTTAGAAGCGTGACTAAAGAATGGCTGTGAAGAAATGGAAGAGGGATAAATGTGTACAACAAAACAGAAGTTCGAGGGCAGACTATCCACGTACCCATGTGGATATTTTGGGATCTGATTGTAGCTTGTTGTTGCACATAATGCAAGCAAACGTATACAGATTCCATTGTCATTCTTCGCTTGGAAGCTCGGAGAACCTTACGTTGAATAGGTGCTGCTCATAATTTCGGAACACCTTGTATATCATAGACCATCTGTTAATAAAAACCTTCGGATTCTAGGTAAAGAGTGGTGAGAAGCAGCTTTGGGCCATTCCATAAACAAAAGCTCTCAGGCGTTCGAATCTTCAATCGAATCAAAAATCAATCTGTAGAAAAATAAGGTTCCATCGTCATTTTCGCACTATGTTACTTATCATGCTGTACATCCAGCTCGAAATTCTGCCACACCATTGACCATGCTTCACACTAAAGGTTTGTCCTCCGTACACCGCTAATTCATTTCCTGCATTTTTCTCTCCAGTGTTTCTTTTATTAAACTGGTGCAGAAAATTATATCGAATTCCTTTCGCTGTCACTACCTAAAGCTCTAGAAAAACTGTAAAATTTGGCATGCGTTTTATGTGAGAGTTCCATCATAAGCAATTATAAGATAAGAAAGAATCCCCGTCCAAGCATGTTTTTTTCCTCTAAATAATTCGCTGCAGAATCTTATAATTGTATAGCGTGATTAATAACTTTGGTAAAAAGTGCCATATGAGATGTCTAATGAAGCGATAAAAACGATAACAAATATGGTCTAAATGACCGTGACACTCACTGGTACATCCAACTGACAGCTAAGAGAAATTCGAGCAAGTGCTTTTTCTTTTGCGAGTTCCAGGAAGTTCTTAATACCTCGATTGAAAATGCTGTACCATTCTGACTCATCTTTTCCCCGTCTGAAATGATTGAAGCTTTATGATCACTTCAATTAACTCCATAATTGGTGAAACCGATAGAAATTTATGAGAGCCTCACACTCTATTGGCTAGCCGATAATTCCGTAATTCGACGAATGCCATGTGAATGCGTACCAAATCGATTAGATCGTCATCGTTCGGTGGATCCTGATCGGCGGAGATTTTCATCTAAAACTCCATATCCATTACCAACTGTAGGTTGTACTGATTATAGCCCCGTCTCAAATTATGAAATCAGATGCACTCTTGTATTAAGAAATCAGAAAAGAGCTGAAGGAGACCGCAATAATGTTAGACTGCCTAGACAGTGACTGCCAGGCGCACGCAACACGTGCACCTATGAAGGTCTAGTTGCACCAAAGACAGTGCTCCACAAGATCCGTGGCAAAATAGTTACACGCTAGATAAGTGGTCTGAGTGCTCGCTTATCCTCACCCCCACACCTTGGTTTTATGAGCCTCGTGACATATGACAAACGAAATATCATTGTTCCCGAAGCGAAAATCAAAACAAGATAAGGAAAACTAAACTAGATCAGAATTAAAAAGAAACATATCATTATGAAAGTTACATGACAAAACCTTACCTGTGATCGTAGATCTGTCTTACGTTCACTCATCAATTCCGATGTTAGGTACTCGTTGAGCTGGAAATTAAAACATGGTCGTACTTTCATCAGAGAAATCACCAAATACTCGTTTACCCACCATTCGATCCCATATCGAAAGCGTGAGTTGACAGTAATCAATTCGCCCGACTTCACGAATAATGTTCGCGAAATGTTGAAATCTCGAGCAACATGCGTTAATTACACTCAACAATTTGAGTAGCTCCTTGCAGGGTTCCTCGTCCTGCACAGACTCAACGGTCTCTTCGAAGAAATCCTCAGCACTTTTCTGGAAAGCGTAGCAGGAAATAGTGATGAGATTAGAAAACATTGCGAAAGACGAGTGCTACAGAACGGGAGGCATCAAGGAGCATCTTCCACCGCCTGCGTGCAACTGCGCAGCTGTTTTAGTTGTGTGCCTGTCATTTCTCTTGCATCGATGTGCACAGTTCGCACGATATTTTCAAACAAGCCCCTTTTCCATCTGTCGCATATGTGGTGGGTGGAAATTTGTGCATTCAAACAAGGCCATGCCGTGAAATGAAATATATGGTCCACAGGAATTCTGCAGAACTCGGAGGATGCTCTTTGATGCCTTCCGCTCCGTACCGTCACTCGCGGCGACATACCACTATTAGTGACTCCAAATGAGCATGGAATGGTCGCTTGTACGGTAGATACTTGTGGTAGAATTGAGAGTCCCGCAATGCTAGCATACACCTGAATGGAAAGAGTCATAGCACCACAAAAACTGGAAGGAATGTCTGGTGAATCTATAGAGATGAATTCATCGAAATCTAAAAGTACAGGAAAAAAGGAAACCTTGCATTTAGATAGATTAGTTCTGCCACTACTTGTGTTGAATATCTCATAAACAGCACGAATATCGAATAATGCACATACGCGGGAACGCAGTTAAATTTGCCATCGGCAGCGGTTTGAATGATTTCCTACGCGCGAATTTTTAATTAGAAGCCACGTGACTGTCTTAAAACTGGCACTGCGTATACCGCACTCAATAGAATGGGTTGCGGAAAGTTTAGCCGGTATACAAAACAAGGCTATCGTTTCCCTCGACAAGCCCTATACCATTTCACCAATCAAGGAAGGGATTGAGGGAATGGTTGTAATCCGCCGGCTAATTTGTTTGCTCTTCCCGCGGCACGGGTCAGGGCCACAGGATATGTTCCTTGACCATTTTTCGCGACTACGAGCAATAGCCCGTGGTATCCTAGGGTCAAGCATTGTTACTTTGGGCATGCCAGTGTTAGCCTATGCCCGAAGCCCTTCGCTGATCTCATGTAGGGTCGAGGGACCTGAGAGCATACAATAATATTTGTTTTGTTCCTTGGAAGTCCAATGGCACTGTAATGATATTACCAGGTAATAGCCGCACGATATATGTACAGGGTGAGCCATAAATATGATAATAAAAGAATTGCTGCTGTAAGAATCTGTAGGCGGAAGAGTGACCGTAATCCGAAGAGCAAGAGTGCGGTAGAAACTTGACTGTCAGGGAAAAGGCGATCATATCAGCTGGGTAGGGATCTAGTCGGTAGTGGGGGTGTAGGTCGAAAGGAACCACTTCTCCCTCCATTGTGCAACATTGTTTAGCCCTCGCGCATGGGAATGTTACTTCATGTATCCATGAATCTCATCACGCGTATTTGAGGCTCGCCGCCAGCTTCTCGAGGAGTACAGTCGACAACGTCTCCACCCGACCATCAAGCTCGCCAACCGCAGCTCTGCACCTCCTGCGTGTCACCCCTAGGCCTATCGTCTTCCAACGGCTAGCGCCTTACCCGCTTGATCGCTGATCTCCATTACTCTTTACGACCGCACAGATCTCAATATTCCCTACATATGCTGGTAAATGTTGTCTTCATACATGTGTGACGCAGAAGCATATGAGATCAGCGGTGCGGGCATTTCCGCACCAGATTACTCTGTGCAGAAACCGCATAGTAGATATTGATACATGGTGAACTTATGTGAACTATTTACTATGCATCGCATCTACAAGTGAACGAACGCTGATATAACCGTTTCTTGTACTAATTTTAGCTCAAAGACGCTTCGGATACTCATCGACGGCGGCACGCAGTTTCTAGAGAAACTCCAGCCCTGGCTTTTTCCAGCGATTCCTTAGAAGCAGCAGCAGTGGTATGTTTTGGAGCGCAGGCTTTCCTTTCCAGTATACACATTTCCCACGGACCCACCGGGTTGAGGGCCGGAAAATTTGTAGACTAATTGGAAACAGGTATCAATTGCGTTCTCATCAGCACCAGTCTTAATCTTTTCCAATTGTGAGCAAGTACTCGAGCAAATTCAGACCGTATATCGGGAAGAATCTTCGATCCTAAGCAGCACCTTCTCAGAAATGCCCTCATGAAGGCGATCTGATCAATTTTCAATTTATCTCGAGAAAAAATAAGCTATATCGTTCTGATGGCACAGATTCCAGCCCAAACGATCATAGAAGAAAAAAAAACGAAACGGTACGGGGAACGATCTCACCTCTCTCAACTTCCTTTCCGCCTGTAGTGAGAAATACACGTGTGATCTGTTATCTAAGCACTTCTTCCACTCGGAACACCTTTTGTCAGAAAGAAGTGTGTCAAAGCGCGTGCTACGTGCAAGTGGGGCGCGGGTCTATGCTTTGTTTCGGACTTCTTCTCGTTAAGAAGCTTATAAGGCCCTCGAAACCCATCTGAATACCATTGTATTTAGTTGTGGCAGACTTTCCTCATCGACGTAGGACATACATTCAACTGGGCAGTCATTCTTTCCTTGTTCTGCAGGTTTAGCAACGTAATCATTTCCAAGCAATTGTATTCGGAGAGGGGGTCGTAATCGAGGCAAGGTGACCGTCTTTGGGCTCGTTGTTAACCTGTCCACGATGCACGAGACCGCCATGCGATAAATGTCGAGAGATCTCTAAGTGAAGTCGCCAAAAGCGCGCAATACGGACTACGGAGCGGCTGCTAAATGATTGCGAGTCTTCACCATTTGTCGAAAACAGGTGAAATGAGAGCACCAAAGCAGATATGTTAGCTAATGGATATCATAAGCATAGGAGGGGGTACAGATTTGGGAAAGCCCCTCAAAACAAGAAATTGAGGACTCCTGCAAAAATATTACCATATTTAAGGCACACCGTGCGCATTCTACTTACTATTAAGCATCGTCTGCCGTCTGCCGTCTGTCGTTATGTATGCCTGTTACGAAATTCCTTAGTTCCTTTAGATCTGCCTGGGGAGAACGGGTCGAGCGTGGGTTGGGTGGGCCATGTTCCGAGAAGTATAAAGCACACATCAGCTTGGCGGAGCCCCGCCCACAGTGGGCGTGGCGTGCATCGAAATAAGCTGTAATGAGGACCATGACTTCAAATTCAGTCACAAGACGGCTTCAAAACTGGGATCTAATGTGGCTAGAGGTGTGTATTGGTAAGTTAGATCGAACTGGGGAGACGCACCCCGATGGGCGGGGCATTCTCCAGAAACGCAATGCTTTATGAAAACATTTTGGAAAATCATAACTCCTGTCCCCATGGACCTCGAAAGTTCAAAGTTGGAAGGAGTATAGGCGGCGTGATGGGATCACCTATGGGGGGTGGCAGGACCAGACTTCGCTCACAGGGGCGGGGTTTGAGCAGAAATTCATAAATCCTGTCACAGTGGAATTAGAGTGTTCAAATTTTGTAGGAGCACAGGTGACAAGATGGGAACACTTATGGTGGAAGGCAGGGCCAGACTCCGCTCACAGGGGCGGGGTTTGAGCAGAAATTCATAACTCTTGTCCCCGTGGACCTGGAAAATTCAAACTTGTTAGGAGTACAGGCGATAGGATGGGAATACTTATAGTTGGTGTCAGGAGCACTCCGCCCACAGGGGGCGGGGTATGAGCGGAAACTCATGAATTCTGTCCCAGTGGAATTAGGAAGTTGTATCAAGTTTTGTAGGAGCACAGGTGACAAGATGGGAACACTTATGGTGGGTGGCAATATCAGACCCCGCCCACAGAAGGCGGAGTTTGAGTGGAAACTCATAAGTCGTGTTCCTCTGGACCTAGAGCGTTCAAATTTGGTAGGAAAGCAAGCGGCACGATGGAAACATTTATGCTAGGCGGCAGGACCAGAACCCGCCAACAGTGGGCCAGTGGGCGGGGTTTGAGTGGAAATTCGGAGCTCCTGCTCCCGTGGACCTGGAGCGCTCAAATTTGATGGGCGGTGCAGGCGGAGAGGCAATTTCAACACGGGAAGAAGGGTAGTCCGGGGCAGCCGGGCGAGCCGATAAGGGTCTATAATGTAAATCAGCTTATGTGGCTCCGTCGCTCATGGCTAGAGCCCCTAGCGCACGCGATAGCGTGCGTGGCCGCTTGATAGATATATATGGTATTGTATGCACGTTGAAATCTAACAATCCTACCATAAGGTCTACACAAACCTTTAGGTTCCTCGACTTTGAACGAGATTCCCGAAGAACTTGAATATAAGGTAATATCGGCATGGCTAAAGTATGGCGCGAGATGAGATGAGAAAGTATGGCTTCTTCTCGAACCAAGTTTTTGAAATAATTAGGTAGGAAGCACTATCAGCTTTAGCCCAACCACTTATATGGAGAAAGGGGCAGTCGGAGGACCTCATCGCGACCGGGTGTGGTGCGATTGACGCGTCAATATGATGAGATCATTGGAGGAGAGGCGCTATGACGTCATTCCCTCCATCATAATGGGAGGAATAAGAACTTATTAAACATAAGTAAAAAAATTAAACAACTATGCACGTTTACAGAGGGATTGCGTTCTTAGTATCGAAAAAAATTGAAGTCATTCTAATTTTGAACGTTTGACAAGTAAATTGTTGACCTATGAAGTGAATTCCTAATTCAAAAGGGCTTCATTGCCATGGTGAAGAGCTTTGCTCTAGTTCACGATGAAGCCGTGGACTACTGTAAATCTTATTTGGTCCATCTCAACAGAAGGGTACTGATGTGATGCTGCGTGCGCGAAGAGTCCAATGGGGTCACGCGTGAATCGCGCGCCCCCCATTGCGACCCAGTCATTGTCACTGGAATCGATATGGAATACCTTTATCCGGGATGATCGAAATTTTCCTAGTTTACGGTCGAGCTGTCATATTCTCCCGAACACTGCCTCGCGCTTGCCGCACCTGCTACTTATACCAGAAATGCAATGGAAGATCGGAGCGCGCAATCTGCGAGTTTGGGAGTCCTTTAACTATTTACATTTTCTGGCCACAGTCTTTAATCCCAATGCGGTCTTGACGTCGATAATAAAGAAGGAGTTATTCCGAATAAAATGAAGTCTAACAAACATAGAAACAAAAAGGGAATCAGAAAGAAACATCCAAAATCAATAAAAAGAAAGGCAATCAACAAAAAATATGGGACCCTATCGATCGACCCTACCGAGGCCCGGGTATAGTAATTGCAGTTTGAAGCCGCGACACAACCAAAAAAGATTAGGCGCATGCGACAAAGCGAACTCGTGAAGCATTCGACCTGGACCGACCCAATTACGCCATACCCATAATGTAGCGGGAAAGGTCACTTCTAACTGCACATATGCATTTTGCATTCGGTGCTTTCAGGGTCCAACAGACTTACCGATGGCGGCGCTAGCCACTTGTTGACTACACTGGCGCGTGATCCATCGGCATTCAGTGTTGTCAACACATAGCCAGCAACACCATCGGTCGGTCGGTCGGTGAACGCAAGCACGGGCGAGGTCGGACGTCCGCACGGATAGTTACCGGTGAACATCAAGACAGTCATTCGCAGCCACTCCATAATGTGCTGCGATGGCAGTCCGTGAAATATTCAAATATTCGCGCGGGGGATAGTCGTTCAGACGGCAGCCGGTTCACTGCGTGGCAATATATTACCACGCCAGCACAAGACAAAATTTTTATCGTGTTTCAACGATTCAAACAAAGGAGCAATAAAAATGGATGATATGCCCTATCCCTCTCGCTGTGATACCTGGGGCAAACAAAAGGCGGTCGACTTTGATAACAGTCAGTTTAGGGCGGTCGACTGCAGGCCCAGTTGTCTCTTCAGGTGGGTAGAAAGGGTTTTTGGTTATAATGCTCCTTTCAAAAACACTGGGTCTAAGAAACCGCTTTACGAGGTTTTACTTGTTTAATGGGAAATAAATAGCTGTTATTTTCCAGTTGCCAGGCTCTGAAGAAGGCGATCAAACAGAAACCGATAAGAGCAGATAATCCGATAAGAGTTTGTTTATTATGATGGTAGCAGGCTTTATCAAAAGCCCGACGAAATTTATTCAAAGTCATGTTAAGATTTATCGAGAGCCGAACTTGGATTCTCAAGGAACACCATTTTTCAAATGAACGTTAAGATGGAAAGAGCACCGGTATGGGTGAAACGGTTGTCTCACACAAACAGCGAGTGGCGAGAAAATTGAACATCCATTTAACACTGTCCCGTTTCTTTCCCAAAATGTAAGCGGTAGCTTGCTCGCACACTATTCCTGCTCAGAGAGGAGCTTCTCCCATCGCGCGCGGACTCGACGCAGTTTCTGAGCTCGACAACTCGCTTAGGTGATTCAAGCTCCTGACTCACCAATCGACGTAAATAGACAGCGTACAAGTAGGTACGCAATTCGGCGTCTAGTAGTAGTGGCATCATCTATTGGGTGTATATCAGCTGGATGTGCAGTGGATTGGCCGATTAGCATGGTCACGAGGACGAATCACCTGGACGAGTTGTCCTGCTCAGAAATAGCATCGAATGGCGGCGCGATGCAACGGGCCGCGCAAAACGACCGTTTCCCTGCATAGGGCCGAACCCGCTACGCAGCCGCACGCAGGTAGCAGAAGGGGCTCCTGAAGCCTTCCCGCTCTGTAACAATCATCCTCAGAGAATATCACTTCGGCCCGCAAAATTGGACACCCCTCGTTGTCTGCGGTATAGCGCCTAGAATTGAAGAGCGGTGTCCCCAAATACATCCTCACCCAAAAGAAGCGGCATGTTTATACCGGATTGACAACAAAAATCACATACCTAACCAGACTGGCAAATTCTTCGGCTGCGTTTCTTTTTGATGGGTGGAAAAGTTTGCGATGTTCAGCGAATGCGCGCTTACAATACGTGTCGAATGCAGAAAATGAAGCGGTCAGCATGTCTTCCTCAGCCTAAGCGTTTATGTTCGGAAACACCTTTGGGCACGTAAAGCAGTTAGTCACAGCAGTAGAACCAGACTTACTTTATCTAGTGCCATCGGCTGCCATTTATCCTGCATGTTCTGAAGAGCTTTGGCAAGCAGCGAAAAAGAAATATCGAACGATATAAGAGAGTGGAAGGCGAGCCAACGGCTAAAATGGTAAAGTCGATAAAAAAACGGTCAGAAACAACCTCACAACCTCCCCAGCTATTCACTACAACGGAGAAGCCAATCCTACAGGCACTTGACAATTACAACAAACGAATTGATGCATACTGACCACATGGCTGTATGAACCTCAGTCAGATCACCCTGCAGAGCATGCTGTCGAAGAATAGTATTCGCTTTATCAGGGAACACACCATCCCAAAGGCGGACTGGAGCCTGAATGGAGTCTCATTAATTACTTCAGGTAGATAGAACAGAATCATTGAATGCATGGTGGCCAAGGCAATAAAACTAACACCGCTAAGACGAATTTCATAGAGAGTGAACTGCCGCATTAGTCCTATGTGTTCTTTGACATCCAATAAATCGTCCTCTCCAGATCCAAAGCGCTCCTCACGTGTAGAAAGCCACAGCTGAATTTTTTTATACTCTATTAGTGACAACTATCACCGTCATAATGATCGCAAGGCCTACTAGAAAGCAGCGTAAACTAGTAAACAATTCGATTGACGTTTCCGTAGCTTCTACTGTTGCATTTTTGACTTCGTTTTCAACTTGCCTTGAAGTTCATAGACAATTCGTATCTTTCAACTCTATCTCACCCCAGTGAATTCATATCAATTCTTATGCCTTTGTCGTATGGGATGCAAAACTTCACTGGCCTTCTCCAGAGAAAGCCTGCCCGGAACTTCAGTTTTCATATCCGGAAGCACTTGAAGCGTTGAACATGATTTCTGAGATTTCTCCCTTGGATAAACCTGCGGCTCCTAAGCATAGCTCAAGGGACGCTGTCGGGTCGAAAAACGGCCGAGATAGGGCGTGATAGAGCTTTATACTGGCTTACCCAAGGCGGACAAGTTTTTAAGAGTTGTGAAAGGTGTGAAGGTTGCACCAGTACCACCGGGACACACACCTTGCACGCAGACAGCTTACTGTAGCCAGCTGTATGGGTTATGACTACATTCGCCGATTTGGAGGCGCACGTGCCAAATTAAGCGTCAACACTCGTTGTTATCTGAACGACTCTGCGTTTACCATCAGGAAATGATGCATTTACATGGAACAGTGACGAAGCACAGAGTTGAAGTTGCCCATAAGCACATTGATTTGACCGATATAAGGCAATGGTATGTGTGTTTATCCGATGCGCAATTTGCCGCGCGCATCTCAAAACGGGTGGATGTTCCGTTCCCAGCTGTATGCAATGACGCGCACGTTAGAACAGCTTGTCCAAACAACTCTTCCGTGCAACTTTCGCCACATTTTCGTCATACCCCAATTTTATCCCTTTTTGAATTCTTATATTCTTTGAGGGTGTGTTGCGATTCGTGCGATTCTGGGTGCGCGCGGCGAGCTGCACGGCGAAATTCGGTGCGATTTGGACGACAACAGCGTTTACCATTGGGGCCAAAATTCGAAGTAAACTAGGTTAGTAGGATTGTTCGAACCTACTGAAGAACCCCACTTCAAGTTTGTGCCCCAGTGATAGGCGCCGGAGTTGTTTGTATCATCGCGAATTTCGCCGCGCAATTTGCCGCGCGCGCCCAAAATCGCACGAATCGCACGTCCCCCATTCTTTGAAAACGCCGGTTTCCTCGTTTCCTGCGTCGTTTCTGCACTATCACTTCCATGTATCTTCTGGTTATATTGGCAAAATAGAAAACCGTGAAGCTGTCCCTAGATATCGAAAATGAATTAATACTCAATAGAAAGAAAAAGTAGTCAAATAGCTTTTATAATCGTGCTCAAACTACAGTCTGGAACAGCTCACCAACATGCTCCTGGTACAAATCGATGTAACTAATTTTTTTCTATCCTTTGAAGTCCTAATGATTATTCTGCTAAACCGTCCTCTCCTTGAAGTAATGAAGAAGCATCGTTTTTGGTTTATATTACTTCTCTTATTATCCTTCTTGCCATTTATAAAGATTCCATTTTTGAAAACATAAAGCAGCCGTCAGAGCGGAGACCTCTTCGACTCACTGGAAAGTATGTGATGAAAACTTGTGTACCTTCAACTTTACACTGCCTGAGACTTTACTTTTTTCTGTTCGAGGTTGTAGAGGGAACCAGTGCTCGATTCCACCAGGTGAAATATCCTGAATAAATCCTCGCTGAATCTATATTGCACAGTCAGGCCTCTGTAGATCCCTTGACTCACACTGAGGTTCATACTGATACATCCTAAAAAGTCGTCAGTGCTGTCATCGGAGTTAGCTCGAGCACTTTGGGCCACTTCCTTGAAAAAACGACCAAGTCCCTGAATAGTAGTTTTATGCTCCTACAGAATCATCCTAACGTATGCAAAAATGCTTGCTGAGGTGGGCCGTAAAACAGTTGGAAGCAGACATTTCGCTTATGCAGAAACCTGATCGATTCCCAGCACGATTTCATGGGTGTGCAGGCCCCGTGACAAGCCGGCTACGAACATCGACGTCACATCAAAATGTCAACGTCACTAAATGGATCACGAAGTAATGCTAAGGTGTAGGTGTGCGCGAGAGCCGACGCGTACTTGCAAAGATCTATACGTGTGAAAACTACGCGAGGGTATCCGGTGAAGAGGTCTGGCATCTTCTCCCCGAACAGCCTGTCGCACTCGCCGCTCGCGATCTCGCGCTATCAAGAGGAATATTTGAGTTTCTAATGGAAGACCACGGAGAGTCCTCGCGGAACCACTGCCGCAGGCCGTGGGAATTTGGGGAGAAGTTCCGTTACCACCGGTGAAGGGACGACATCGGGGGCAACTGGGCTAGTCCAAAAGTTCGACAAGTGCTACAGCGCGGGAGGCATCAAATACACCGTTGCTAGTCGCGTCGCGTTTCTAGCATGGGAGTAGGGCGGAATTTGCGCGCTGCTTTCACAAAAGCAGCTACGTGGCTGCTTTTGCCTATATCGACCTGAATAACCTTCCATATCTTCCCGATTGTTTGAAACCCTTCCAACTGAATGCTCGTGTTACCAGCCTTCTCTATCGCCTAAGTGAATCAAACTGTTTTTGATGGTGTTGGAATGGGCTCAAAGTAAGAATAAAATGGAATTTCTTGACATCTTTGACGTCATGAACCTTTCCCTCATTTTGGAAACAATTGCCCTTTGGACCTCGACATTGATAGATGTGGGTTACCGAAAGCAAGGTGTACGATTCGAAGTTCTATAGTGAATTGCTATCTAACGCCTTGATCTTTCGCCGACGATAAAAAAAGTTTTAAAATTTGTGTGCTGCTAGACGGCTCTCAGATCTGCTCCATAGATCTGCTCCATCCCAGCAATTTGACATGATTATTACTGTCAGAGCACAGCGACAACTCGATTATACATCGTCTCTTATACTCTTCTCCTATCCGAACTTTTTTGTGTGAGGTATTTATCTAGGCCGCCCCGGCGCTTTCCCTCCTCTTGAGTTTAATAGGGAAGGATTTCAAGTCGAAGGGCTGTTTGGAGTGAAACCTACAGTGCTAGACGTGTTTTCGTATGCTGATCTCGAATCTGCTTTCCAGATTTGCCGCGCGTTTCTCCAAAGGAGTTATGAGATGATCTCCGGTAAGGCTCAACATAGAAAGCTTAAATTACATGGCTGCGCAAGATTCTACAGCGGTGGCTTGAAGCAGTGGTAAGCATTGCACTTCATATGCGAGAGACCAGAGTTCGGGTTTTGTGGGGGGTGGGGCGAGATTTTGCATTCGGCTGAATTTTGTTTCTCACCCTAAACATGCAATATTGTTTCAATTAATTTTTTTGCATATTCGTATATGCTAAATTCGTAGTAGTATGAGCCATATCACTTCACGAACATATATGGTCACGAAATGTTAAGAAACGAAAACTTACACATTTGCAACAACTGATAAAGGAAGATTTCGCTACATCGTGTCGTTTTACAATAACTTACCGTTTCGGAAGGAAAACAGAATTTTGTAGGCGTCTCAAATCAACCATGGCGAGGATCATTTAGCTGGCGACGTGTATGAATTAGAGGGGAAATCCCTCAATCTAACGGCACAAAACTAAAAGTAGTTAGGTAGTACGAAGTAAGCTACGCCACAAGCGTATGAGCATAGGTTGAGACTGTAAGCTTTTACATATGAGGTGATGATCATACTTTTGAACGGCAACAAGAAATGAACAATGTTTGGCTGCATCAGCCTCGTGGTAGAAGCAGGGATGCTCATTACCTTCACGCGCTTCTGTGGGGGTGAAGTGGACTTAATAGCTTCATGATTTTTGAATGATGTCAACGAATTCTTTATCAGTAGGGTTGGTCTTGACGGGTTGGAATCCGCCACGCCCGATCGTATTCATTCTTGAATCATGAATTACTACTAATTTAGGGACCATGCACAAAAACTCAAGGCATAGTAGGGAAAGAGTGGGTGGTTGCGTCATTCGAGTTTCTTGGGGCCAGAGATTGCAGAGAAAAGGATCAAACTTTTTCGCCGGTCGATATAGCTCTAGGAACTCACCCCGTACTCGATCACTCGATCCTCATTCATTGGGGCCTTTAGAATGCATATACATATAGCTTATGCCATGACTTGCGATGACAAAGCAATGTAAACGTCAGTGCTTTTGACAACTCATAAGAGTTTGGTACCAAACGACTGACCCCGGAGGAATGACGGCTTGGTTGGCCTGATCGAGAATTCGATACGAAGTTTCAATGTCTAGACCACCCATGGGCGATAGTGCATCATCTGCCACCACACCGCATTTGCCTTACTGTGAATATAGCATGTACAAATATGCAAAAAACTAATTGAAGCGATATTGCATAATTTGGTTGAGAAAGTTGCCACCACAGTCATAAAAAAATGGTGAAACGCAATAGAATTAGCATAAAAGTTATCCATAGGCTACAAGGATAAAATTCAACGAAATGCAAAATTCTCGCTACTCACAAAACCCGACCCTGGTCTCTCGCACATGAAGTACCACTCTTACCATTGCTCCAAGCCACCGCTGTAGTATCTTGTGCATCCAAGTAATTTAAGCTTCCTCATCTTCTCAGCTTTGTATGCTGAGCCTCACATGAGACCATCTCATGACTTCATTCAGAGAAACGCTCGGCAAATTCAGCAAGCAGATTTGAGATCAGCATACGAAAACACGTCTAGCAGTGTAGGTTTCATCCCAAACGGCCACTTCGACTTGGAATCCTTCCCTGGTTAGGTAAAAAGCATTTCTCTGAAAGGCAGCAGTTGATTGACCTGACCTCAGGTTCAGTGACCTCACTGAATTGTTGACTGAGTCACTAGAGCTGTTTTTAGGTAACGATCAACATGTTTCTATAATAATTAGATGCCGGTCGATATGCGTTCCTTGGTATGTAAAAGTATGGTACAATAGCATCCCTTGAGCAGGGACAGCCGAGTGGATAAGAGTGTAGGCTCACGTCTGCACCCAGAGGGAGTGCGAGTTCGATCCCTGCCGAGGCAGCTCCATGCCTTGCAAAATTTGCTAAAATGGTATCGGCACCAGGGTCAGGCACAGGTTGACAGGCCGGCTGGTGGAGAAGCCCAGTCACAACAAATATGCCTGAAGTCTCGAAAATTTTCAGTGATAAATCTAGGACGTCACCCCGAAGCCACGCACAGGACCCCCGCTCGAGCTCTGTAGATAGTATGTGAGAGCTACCGAGGAGGGAACGACCAAAAGAAGTTACTTCCAATTGGGACTCAAAATGTGGGATCGCTCACTGGAAAGTTCCGATAGGTGGCTGATCTTATGAAGCGCAGGAACATCCAAGTCCTATCCCCCCTGGAAATGAGCAATTTCAGAAAGATCGGAGAGGGTGTCAAACTCTTTTACAACGGAGAAGACACCAAACGAAATGGTTTGGCCATAACAGTGGCAGAATCCCTCAAAGACATGGCCGTGAGGATAGACACGAGACAGACAGAAACGGAGAAGGGGAGAGGTTCTTGCCCTAGCCATAGCCCACGACTTGGCAGTCTGCAGCACCTTCTTCGCGAGAAAAAGTCTCAGAAGGTACCCTACAGCAATAGAGGGAAGGAAACGGAAATAGATCATGTGCTAGTAAAAATACTGTCCCTCGAAACTGTAAAGGACATCAAGGCACTGCCCGGAGAAAATCTGGCTCTACAGCACAGCCTCTTCTAGCAGACGTAGCCATCGATCTTCCCAAGAATTCAAGGACAAGAACGGAATGGAGGATCCGGTGGTGGAAGCTGCATCAATTCGAAATAGTACACCTCAAAAAGAAGGTACTGGAAGCTGGACTTACAAATCCCAAAGGGCCGATCCAGCAGACTTGGAGCAACGCTGTGAAGGTCATCTTGAGATGTGCAGAGGAAACGCTGGGGGAAACTCGAGGTGGTTTCCGAGGAGACAAGGAAGCAGGCCTTTGGAATGATGAAGTCCAACGAGTTGTGATACAGAAGAAACAAAAAGAAACACGGCCAACAAACGTCGGCAAAGGACACGGACCCCAGAGGACCTAGCTACCTAGAACGTCCAAGAGGCTAGCGAAGGCTGTTGCAGCGAAGGCGAAGGACACTGAAATGGACGCCTTGTACGAGAAACTCGACAGTCGAGAAGAAGAGGAGTTCGTTTCCCGCCTGGCGAAAGCGCGTCGCCGCGGCACTCAGGACATCGGGTAGTGGAGTCCGTCAGGAACAACGAGGAAGCCTGGCGAGGTCATGCGTAGCTGGAAGGAATACTTCGACGGGCTCCATTACGAAGAATTTGTCCGTAAGAACAGCTCCCAACTAGAGGCAACGGCTGGCCCATCAATCTCTGGACGGAGAATTAGGTGCGTAGAGCAATGGGGAAGATGAAGGTTGGGAAGGCAACTGGTCCGGATGAAGTACCGATCGAAACATGGAAGGCCCTCGGAGAGTAGGCCAAATCGATTCCTGATCACTGTGATCGCTAAAGGAAGAATCCCACATGCGTGGAGGAGGAGTACGTTCCTATCTTCAAGCAGAAGGGGGACGCGATGAAGTGTTCCAACTACCGGCGGATCAGATTGACTGCTCATACGATGAAACTGTACGAGCGGCTGGTCGACTCAAGATTGAGATAATTGGTCCCAACCCCGCAGGAGCAGTTCGGCTTCATGCCTGAGAGGTCCACAACTGATGCCATCTTCATAGCAGGCAAGTTATGGAGAAGTATCGAGAAAAACGTAGACTCTGCTACCTAGCCTTCTTCGATTTAGAGAAGGCATTCGACCGCCTCCCGCGACATGTCCTCTGGAGAGCACTCCGAAAACGAAAGGTTCCAGAACACCTGATCTCTCTGGTGAAGGACATGTACGAT